GGTAACTAAAGTATCTGACAAGTTCTGGTGCTGATAGGTAACTTAAGTATCTAATAAGTTCTGGTGCTGCTTAAGAACTAGGGTATCTGACATGATCTGGTGCTGCTAGTTAACTAAAGTATCTGACAAGTTCTGGTGCTGCTTAATAACTAAAGTATCTGACAAGTTCTGGTGCTGCTAGGTGGCGGTAGGAGCTGTTGCCTAGCAACTTTCGTTTTGGTCAGTAGCTGATATTGGAACAGCTACACCTGAATCACACGGATTTCTGACCTGGTCTTTAAACCCACGTGATCATAAGGTGCCGCTCAGATTGAATATGTTAATTCCGTTATAAGGTCCTTATTTGGCGTACGTTAAGCACAAAGCTACACAGTTGCCTATCTATGCTTTGCTTACCGCGGATATCGAAACCCGATTATTTTTTTTTTTTTGCATTATAAACCTTTAGGCTTATCGTTATGTTACCGGGGAGTGTGTGTGGTGGGGGGGGGGGGAGGCTAGTAGCGAAAGCTACACGACAGGCTACATACACTCTGTCCACGGGGAATCGAACTTAGTGTGTAAACTTATCGCTAGCTCACTGGAGGACCACTAGGGGCTAGCGAATACCTAACGAAATAATGTTATTTTGCAACGCAAACTCTTTAAGTAGGCAAATATTTCAAACTAAGTATTTTTCACTTATACTTGTTTGATAAATGATTTTTTTTTAACCTTCCACCTTGACACCAATTAATGAACAATTATGAAAATTTTAACAGACAAATGTAAAAAGATTATTATACAAATAATACCATCGGAGTTATAGTAAAGGATTTTTATTTAGACTTAGTACCAGATGTCGACTGCTCTTCTGGAGTTAAAGAATTAATTTAACAATGGATTTACCTGTTAAAAAAAGAAATAAGAAGAGATTTGGACGAGGAAACAGATTTCTGGAACACCTCCCTATTTTCCGCACGCAGAAGATCCGATTGGTAGTGTCAAATTCTGTGTAGGTGACTGACGACCTCCAAGACAAAACTGACTAGTCTGAACGATCATGTGACTTGAATAACTAGTATTCTCACCTGTTTCACTTCTGCCTCAGTTGTTTGAGGCTTGTCTGTTGGAAAGACATAATTATATTCCTCTACATGATGAAATTACACTTTGCTATACTCCCTCTACTGTTTCTGACGGTAAGTTTTTTTTTCCATTAGAAAAACAAATATTTGGTTACAAGCTACGTACGTAGATCTGATTTCCATCAAATCACTATCTTTTTTCCCTCGAAAGAGTTTAAAGTGGACTGGGAGGAGCAATAGAGAAAGAAAGGGGTGAGCGAAAGAGGGAAATGAAATTACAGTACCAACTGTGCATTTATAGAGAGTATAGACTCAAAATCAAAATAAATATTATCCCAATTTTTCCATTTTACATATTTATTTAATAAAATGAAGTAAAATATGTCATCTTGCAATAAATAATGCCGTTGAAAGAAAATAGAAAATGAACAGAATTCTTTGTTAGATTTTATAGTAAATTTGTTTGGTTATGGGATCAGTCGTCAGCTATCTGTCGTTTTTTCGAATAATGCAAAAATTATGATCAATAGTGTTTTAAAACTTTCGAGGCCTGAAAGGAAATGTGCAATTTTGAATTGTATGTTTGTTGTTAAGCACAAAGTTACAAAATGAATTATTTGTGTTGGGGGGTCACAACGGGTATCGAAACCTGGTTTTTAACATTATAAGCTTTCATACTTACAGTTGAGCCACTGGGGGGGGGGGGTAGTTTTGAAGTTCTTTAAGTTTGTTTGTTTGAAGTAAAGCATAAAGCTACACAATGGGCTATCTGTGCTCTGCCCACCACGGGTATCGAAACTCGGTTTCTAGCGTTGTAAGTCCACAGACATACCGCTGTGCCACTGGGGGGAGGGGGTTAGTTTTGAAGCTCTGTAAGTAGTTCGAAATAGAACTTTGTACTATTTAAGTAACAATTAACTTTCTTGGCTTATCTGATATAAATATTAATACTATGATTCTTTATCAAGCGTGGTTAGCGTGCACGGCTGTGGACCGAAAAGTCCAATGTTCTAGTCCACGATAAGCTAGTGAAGATGCTTGGAAACTTCAGCTGTGTGTGTGCGTTATAAAAGGACAGTCAGTTCCACTATACGGCTAGATGGATGTTTTTGACTGGTTGCTCGTCCATTGGTCAGCAGATCTAATTTAGGAAAGACTATGTTTAAACCTTAGGGTCTCCGACCTGACTGTTTAACCCATGTTTTACATAAGTGGCCGACAAGGTTGAAGATGCGAAACATTTCACTGAAACATATTTTAAAAAAATACAACACTTACAACTTGCTTGGAACTTTTTAAATAGTTGATTCTCTTTAGAACTACACTAACTACTAGTTAACAAAGTTTTCCTTTTAAAATTAATGACCGTTAGTATGTAAATAATTTTTTTGAAGTCGAGCTTAATACATTTTAGAAGTGTGACTTTAAGGTTTTATTTCTTGCGCTATCCTTCAGTTTGTTTTCTATGTTACATGTGAGATTAAGTTGTAATATTTGCTGTCATGATTAATTGATATCCGATCGGCACAACCTAACGTAAGTACTTAAAGAGGATTTTGTTGCTCTCTACAGAACCTCAATGTTAAATCTTCATGCACTATATTTAACAAAATAGTTAGTTCTTTATCACTTGAGGCTGGTATCGTATAATGTCGGACTGCGTATCGAAAAGTTCAAGGTTCGAGAAGTGATGTCGCTTAACAGGTTTCGTACTTTCAGCTGTGAACGCGTTATAAAAGTGACAATCAGTGCTGTTATTCCGATCGAAGAGATAAACAAAGTCGTCTTCCCTCTGATCTCCTATGGGTTTAACACTTGGTTGTTTAACCCACCTTCATATGAATTGGTTACTCCTTGTCAGCTCTGACGGATACTGAAAATATAATAACTTTATCATGACGTAGAGAGGAAACACAAAGTGGACTGCATGGTTACTCCTTGTCAGCTCTGACGGATACTGAAAATATAATAACTTTATCATGACGTAGAGAGAGAAAACATAAAGTGGACTCCATGGTTACTCTTCTGTCTGTTCTAACGAATGCTGAAAAATAGATAATAATAAAAACGCCTAAACTTTCCATAAATGGATCAGATTGTAACCTTCAAGTTAACCTCCTTTATCTTTTTAATATTGACAATATTAACAAGTATGTGTGTCAGTGGGTGTGGCCTGACGTGTAGGTAGAAACCTACAACATAGTGTAGGAAGACGAACAAGTCTGAACTACTTAGATCTAAAGTAAAACTCGCTTCATAAAAGTGGAGCACGTGTTCAAAAGTAAACTTTCGAAAGGAACGATCTGTTTTATCTTTACAGACTTTACGTAAAAAAAAAGGAAAATTAAAATTAATAGGTTGACTAATATTTTTGTGTATATTTTGTGTTTTTCTTTGGATATTTGACTTACATTGGTTTTGCATGAAAATAAACGTAGACAAACTAATTAAAGAGTGATGTTCATGTGACTCCACCAGATGCGAACTGCTGTATTAATATAATGATATACCAGCACAATTACGTCGATAGCGACGTAGAATAAACTAAACCATGTATGTGGGAGGTAAAACAATTTGTTGTGCACCCACTATTAACCTCTTTATTCTGTTCAAGTTTTTGAGCTGTCCAGCTTTACAAACTAATCTATTATAATGCTACTCAGTTTTTGTCTGTCCCGAAAATGCACGCGCACCTTACTATCTAAACATGTGCACTTTCTTTCGACGGATGTAAATATACTTTAGTAGACATTTTGTAAAACAAGATAATAAAGGCTTATCAAGGTTTTTAAAAAGGTCTAACGTTAGGTCGTACAATAACATTATGAGTGTATTTATTGATAGTATTAAGTACGGTAAAGTTTAGCTCTAACTAAATTAAAGCGAAAACGAACACAAGTTTAGGTATTGACTTATCTCTTTATCGAATATAGGCCATACGTAATAAAGGCTTGACTAATATTAAGCCTAAGACTAGTGGACTTTTAGGTTTCGGTGTTTGCAATTACATTTCGTTTGTATTATTCTAGAAATCCTGTATTTAAAGAACTACAGTTGCAATAAAAATGCTACTTTGACTGCAATTGTTTTGCGGGTCTCTTTTAATACACAATAAATCTGAAAAATACATGATCAAAGATGACTTTTAAACTGTGAGTGGGAAAGACGAATGTTACAGCTCAAAGCGTTTGTTTTAGCGGAAGGCCACAAAATTGGCCATCTGCACTCTAGTCCACCGTGGGGAATCAAATCCCGGATTTTAGTGTTATAAGTCTGTAAACTTGTCGGTGATTCACAGGGGGGGGGGACTCCTCAACCATAAAACTTCTAAGCCAGTGTAGTCTTCTCTGGCTAAACATTCTCTTAAACTTGCTGGTGACTCACAGGGAGACTCCTCAACCATAAAACTTCTAAGCCAGTGTAGTCTCCTCTGGCTTAACATTCTCTTAAACAAGAACTATTATATTCTTCACCAAAAATATAAGGATCAAATATTTAATACGAATTGAAAAAATACACCTGAATGCTATCGAAAAACAGACAGATCATTATTTATGTATCCGTAATCCATGTCTTGTTCTAAGAACACACGACTCTAGAAGGACACCACTTCCGTTTTATTTTCAGATATGGTTATTAGGAAAACTCTTGTTTCCTCCTGAGCTCTTGTTCTTGATAATTGTGTAACAGTATTGCCTGCCTATGGCCATTGGATCTGAAGTTCTTTCTTCTATATGATTATATGAAAGTATTACGTACTTGTGGATGTTGGATTTGAGTTCTTGTTTCTGTATGATTCTATGAAAGTGTTACGTACTTGTGGATGTTGGATTTGAGTTCCTGTTTTTGTATGTCTGTATGACTGTGTTACATACTTGTGGAGGTTGGATCTGAGTTCTTGTTTCTGTATGATTCTATGAAAGTGTTACGTACTTGTGGAGGTTGGATCTGAGTTCTTGTTTCTGTATGATTCTATGACAGTGTTACATACTTGTGGAGATTAGATCTGAGTTCTTGTTTCTGTATGATTCTATGAAAGTGTTACGTAATTGTGGCGGTTAGATCTGAGTTTTTGTTTCTGTATAACTGTGTGACTGTGTAACCTGCTTGTGTCGAAGGGTCTTAACGGAAGTACAAATTGGTAGCCCAGGAGTGTGGAGGGAAGGATGTGGATATTTTCTCCGAAAACTGATATGTAGACAGCCTGGACAAGGTTGCGGAAGGTCAGTTTAACCATGTAATGACCATCCACTTTGTAAAATACATATCTGGACTGGCCAGCTCATTGTCCATATATATATACTTCTTATGGACTTTACAGTAGTAACTGAAGTGCTTATTAGAGACCAACTGGTCAGTAACAGCGTTTAACGTAAGGTCGGAAAGACCTATTTCAAATTCACAATTAACCGCACAACTTGTTTCAATTTTTGATGTCATCAGAATTGGGAGGAATGTTTCATATCTCTATACCTGTTAACAGATGGGTCAGAGGTAAGCCCGAGAACTTATAATGTTAAACAGGTGACTCAGCAGTAAGCCTGAAGCTTATAATGTTAAAGAGGTGGCTCAGCGGTAAGCCTGAAGCTTATAATGTTAAACAGGTGGCCCAGCGGTAAGCCTGAAGCTTATAATGTTAAACAGGTGGCTCAGCGGTAAGCCTGAAGCTTATAATGTTACACAGATGGCTCAGCGGTAAGCCTGAAGTTTATAATGTTAAATAGGTGGCTCAGCGGTAAGCCTGAAGCTTATAATGTTAAACAGGTAGCTCAGCGGTAAGCCTGAAGCTTATAATGTTAAACAGCTGGCTCAGCGGTAAGCCTGAAATTTATAATGTTAAATAGATGGCTCAGCGGTAAGCCTGAAATTTATAATGCTAAATTTCGAGTTCGATCCATTCGGTGGGCACAACACAACTAGCCCAATGTGCACCTTTACGCTTAAATAAAACAAACAAACAAGTCTCTACCAATGACTAATTGGTTCGTATCTGGAATACTGTAGAATGAACAACACACTCATTGCGGCACCACTAATTATGATCGTTTGGATGGTGGCTAGGTTTATCATTACGAAACATCGGTATTAATGGGAGTTCAGCTCTTATTTTGTTTCGAAAAACGATATATTTATGCGTTATTAAACTATCTATTTCAAACTTTCTTGTATGCTACCAAATCAAACGTTATTTTGATTATGTCTGCCGTCAATCGGCCATGAAGAACTGGACAAGAAACCACGAAGGTCAGGAACTGGCCAATAAGATGTTCCGATTTAAGTCTGAAATAATACATCTGTGACCTTCTTAGACGCCGTTTATGTCATCATCTTAACCCACCATACGATGTTGGTAAATTTAGTGTTGAAATAATTGACAAATAAGGAAGGAGCCACATATGTCCACATATCGGCTAAAATATGTCCTTTCGGTATAGGTGGACCATACACATCACTAAATATATCTGAAGTTTTAGAGAAACCCTCTTAAAAGCGAGGTTTAAAACCCGCTGTGGACACAGAGCAGACAACCCATTGTGTAGCTTTGTGCTTAAACACAAACAAACAAAATTTGAAATTAAATGATACAGCCAGATCCTAACTACAACCGCTTTTGTCATCGAGAATTAGAAACTAAGAGAATGCTGTCAATTAACTATATTTAATGAATAAATAGTGTCCCTGTTTTATAGTTTATTTTAGTTAGGGTCCTCATTTGGTTTGATTAAAAAAATCTTGCCTTTTGATATTTCGAAGTATTTTTATCCAATCTTAATTATTTTCGAGTTAAATGAAAATAATTTCGTAGAAATAGGAATAAAAATATGTTTTATTAAACTAATTTCTTTCGTTCATGTGCTAGATACACTTTGTTTATTGTCAAAGTTATGGTAGCTCCAGAGATAGTTATCGGAGACTGTACACTGAGCCAAAGTACGTATCAGGAAGATCAAGAGGGAGACTGTACACTCAGCGAGAGTACGTACCAGAAAGATCAAGAGGGAGACTGTACACTCAGCGAGAGTACGTACCAGGCAGATCAAGACAGAGAGTGTACACACAACCAGATTATGTATCAGGCAGATCACGACAGAGAGTGTACACACAACCAGATTATGTATCAGGAAGATCAAGACAGAGAGTGTACACACAACCAGATTACGTTTCACGAAGATCAAAACAGAGAGTGTACACACAACCAAATTATGTATCACGAAGATCAAGACAGAGAGTGTACACACAACCAGATTATGTTTCAGGAAGGTCAAGACAGAGAGTGTACACACAACCAGATTACGTATCAGGAAGATCAAGACAGAGAGTGTACACACAACCAGATTACGTTTCACGAAGTCAAGAGGTGAGTTTAACTGTATATATATAAAAAAAACAACTTTATATGCCAACGTATTATCATACTTGCATAGTACTGTATTTAAAAATACACTGTATCAGTGTTCTCAAGACGAATTGCTAGGGACGTTATGCTACGTACAATGTTAACATGAACGACGACATTTCGCACAAAGTGTAGTTTATCCTAAAAACAAATATAAAATATGATCTCCATGGAAACACATCGTTGTTATAATTGATAATGATAATATAATTGATAGTGCTTCGTTAAACTAATATCACATTGTTGAAACAGATTACAGAAATCATATACAATTAGTTTCTTTGATAATTTTTTGTTGGTTTACCGTAGTTCTTTACTCTTCGCGGGGATCAAATCTTGAATTTTATCGTTATATGTTCTCAGTTTGTTTATTTTTTTGTGTTGAAGCAGAAAACCACCCACTTAGCTATCTGCACTGTTCCACAACGCGTTAAAAACCCTCAAGCTTTTAGTGGGGAAAATATTATATGTCTAGGATTATTAATAAATTATGTTAATAATTATGTACGTTTATTAATTCTCTATCTTTATACTAATATATTGTGTAAAACTACGGAAATTTGGGGAAAAATTCAAATTACTGAGAACGCGAAAAAATGATTTCAACTTATACGTGCATCATGTTCGAGTTTCTTCTTAAAGTCATAATATAATTTACAATTCTCTGAATATATCAGGTTCATCAAGTTAACATATTAAACTTATATAATAATAGAATATGTAGCATTCTCGTCATTCTTCTGTTGCACTTAACAACTCCTGACGTACAATCCATTACATTTGTTATTTCACGGCCATCCCGTGAAATTCGTGATTATAAACATATCTATCGTTTTTGTTTCTCAGTTACCGAATTTTAAAACTAACACATTCTAAGTAACTGACCGGTAAACTTATTGATTTCTGATGCAGAATAGAAATGGCATTACGTTACACTGATGACTTCAAGAACTTATAATGACTTTATAATTTTTTTACACTCACAACTCTATTTAACTATCTATCTCGATGAGATATTAGTTTTATTTCCTATACTTAATATGTATGTTTTTTTTTTTTTAAAGTCTCCCTTACCTGCAACCCAGACGAAACCGCTCTAGACTTGTCATTCAACGAACCATTTCGCGGAGTGATATATGCTGGTAGTAAAGACAGCCGATGTAAGATACGTGGTAACGGAGGCACAAAGTACTATCTGCGCGTGCCCTTTAACGATTGTGGAACCAAACACGTTGTAAGTACGATTTAGTATAGGGCATGATATATAACATATATATATATAGATTAAAAGTTTGTATTTTAAAATGCACTCCAAAAATGCCCACGGACAGGACATGCCGAAAAGAAAAGTTAAAACCTATATTGTCATGAGTGGTGTAAAAAACGTCTGCATAAATACGAGTGTTTTAAATGTTCTTTTCTTAATTTATATGGATAGTTTGTTTTAAATAATTTATTTAAATACTCTGGATATATATATACCCTAATGGTAATAAATGTTTTTTTCTATTTAGTGTTATTTGTTGGTTAGGTGTTGAATAACAACACAAATCATTTAGTCTTATATATGTATTTTTCTTTCGGACGATGGTAGCAATGTTTATATAGCAAAATAAATAAATAAATAAAGTATTATAATTTAAAATGTTTGCCTTTTTAAGATCTGTCAGTCTTTTTGAACAGTCCAAATGTTAAGAACTAGCGACATCTAGCGATAAATTGTTTCTAAAACTTACCATATCTGTTAAATATAACTGCAACTTGAAACACTTTTTATTATAATAGATTTAGTTCTTTTTAAACTAGTTTTGCATACTTATACGTGTATGTCGAATAACTAAACATGATTAAAGTCATATTAACAATTTTATTAATTTCAGTTATTTACGAAACTTAGAGGAACTGAGTTGAAGATCATTTGTTAGAACTAGCTATGATAACGAATTCAATCGCTCTTTCAAAATTTGACTAACAGATGGCAGCACATATATGCTGAATTTCGTTTGTGATTATAAGGACTTCTTAGAGAAAGTAAAGAAGAACGAATAACAATATATCAACCAAAGCATGTCTGCTATATCCAGTTTCGACGAAGCCTTCCACCCAATATCCGGGCTTTTCAGTCCACCTGGTATAGTTGTGGTTAAGAGGGTATTTATATGAGAAAATTACTTGAACAATAACTGTAGGGTACGAACTAGATTAATTTGGTAAAACGGAATTTTTAGCAATTTGACTAAATCTCAGAATCAGGAAAGGATTTTAACACGATATTAGTTGTTTATTATTTATTTTACTTAAATTACCCTACTAATTAGCATATAACAGTTTTAGGTTTATAGGTTTTCCAGTATTTTGCCGGATTTGGGCGTTTGAACCGTCTCATTATTCAGAATAACAGGCTAACCTATAACCTAGCCTTCTTCTTCTCTGTTATGACACAGCTCTTAATGAACTCTACTGCATTTATTTTTGTGTTTTGATAATAGATAGCACCACATATGTGTAAAGACATAGGGTAGGGGTTGAAAAATAATCTATTACAAGTCCTAACTAGCTTAGTTATTATTACTTGAGTGTTTTTCTAACAGATGACGCCTCGGTCAAGTGCAGAGCTAAGGAGCGTAAAGATAATTTACCTGGACAGCGAGCTGATTCACACATATTTCTGAACTCTACGAACAAAAGATTTGCATTACTAGCGCGAGAAATGTCATGAGTACTTGCAATCAGGGAACTTAGACGTATGCTGAGAATAACTCAGGAGAATTTTAAATTTGTGAAACTACTAAATAGCCAGTTGGAATGTCATCAGGTTTTAGGTGACCTTAAGGAAAAAAAAAAAAGCTTACACCGAAGTTGGACTATAAATATTTTCTGACATGGAATCGTATTATTGGCCACGGAATAGCGGCTCATGGGATGGCCCCGAGTTTCTTCAAGTTTTTTTCCATATTGTCATTCAGATGTGAATTTGAAGAATAAGTTTAATGTTTTAATATAAAAGAACGGTTTTAGAGCTGTAAGAGTTGCGGGGAATATTAGAATTAAGCATTAAATATTTACATATACAAGGTGTTCCAAAAATAACTTCTATATTTTGAACTTCAACAAATAAAGTAAAAATGACTAAACTTAAAAAATAAATGAAACTCTGTATACCTACCAGTTTGACTATGGGCTTATGATAATATCACAATAAATGCAATACTTACATTTTTATTAATTAATTACTCGTTATGACTAATTAAACACACCCAGTTATAAAATATTAGAAGCAAGAAGAATGATACCCAAAGCTATAATGTCAATAAGTATTTAAGTAATGATAAATTAATTGGTAATTGATTGATTCACATTTACCCACTAAATTAATTTTAATATTATCATAAAGCCCATAGTAAAATTAGTAGGTTTCAAGTATTTACACTTAGTAATAACGGGTTTAGTAAAGTTTAAACAAGGAAGTTGTTTCTGGAACACCTTCTATAGATCTTTGTGAGCGATATTTGTTTGTTAATTACGATTTTTATAGAACACCTTCTATAGATCTTTGTGAGCGATATTTGTTTGTTAATTACGATTTTTATAGAACACCTTCTATAGATCTTTGTGAGCGATATTTGTTTGTTAATTACGATTTTTATAGAACACC